AGCACCCATGTAAATGTCAAACATGGCACTGAACACTGGACACCTCAGCACTGTGGGAGTGGGAGGGGAGGGAACAGGAAGACTCTACTCCACAGGGCTCACTGGCTAGTCATTCAAGCCAAGCATCAGGTTCCAGGTTCACTGAGAGTTCTGATGCAAAAACTAAGGTGGTGGGGCCTGGAGAGATGGCTGCTCTTGTAGAGGACCTGGGTTGTGCTCCCAGCACTTACAACTGTCCCTAACTCCAGTACCAGGTTCCAACGCCCTCTTCTGGTGTCTGTGGACAGTGCATGACACAGGTGGCAAAATATTCATACACATAAAATGAAAACAGATCAAAAACATTTTTAATATTTCTATTGATTAATTTTTGTATATGAGTGTATGGCCTGTGTGTGTGCAGTGCTGGAGGAGGTCAGAAGACAGTGTTGGATCCCCTGGAACTGGAGTTATGAACAGTTGTTAGCTGCTAGTTCATGCTGGGAATTGAACCCAAGTCCTATGCAAGAGCAGTCACTGCTCTTAACCACTAAGCCATCTGAGCCATCTCTCCAGCCACCCCCCCCCAATTTTTTTTCTTGGTCTTTTTGAGACAGGGTCTCCCTCTAACCCCAGCTGTCCTGGATTCACTATGGAGACCATGTTGGCCTCAAACTCACATAGATCCGCCTGCCTCTGCCTCCCGAGTGTTGGGATTAAAGGCGTGCGCCACCACACCAAGCTACACCACAAAATTTTTTAAATAAGGTGGAGAACAATCAAGGAAGATACTCAAAGTCCACCTCTGGCCTCCACACACAAAGGAAGGAAGGAAGGAAGGAAGCAGGGGGGGGACCACAAAAAAGGAGAGCTGGCAAGATGGACCCGTGGGTAAAGGTACTTGCCACAAAGCCTGAAGACCTGAGTTCACTCCCTGGGTTCTACATGATTTGGGGGTCTTTTTATTTGTTTGCTTTGAGACAGGGTCTCCCTATAGCTCCAGTTGGTCTGGAACTAGATATGTAGATCAGGCTTGCCTCAGTCTCACAGAGATCCACCCACCTCTGCCTTCCAAGTGCTGGGATTAAAGGTGTGCACATCCCATCCCACATGATTAGGAGAGAACTAACTCCCAATAGCTGTCCTCTGACCTCCAGATGGGCACAGTGGCATGCACACACCCACAAATGCAAGGTAAATAAAGAAATGTGTTTTGTTAATTTAAAGAAAACAGACATCTAGCAAGTCTCACAGACTTCTTTTGGTGAAGGCTGCCTCATCCATGATCTGAACTCCACAATTTTACAGAAACTGTCTCCACATCACTCATGAAAAGATTATAAGGAAACTCCACAGCAAAGGCGGTGGCATGGAGGCTAACAGCCCCTCCCCGGGAGTGGTTTGGTGAGACAAGAGAGCTCTTTGTGGGGTACACGGCTGAGTATGGTAACCAGACATCATACCCAGAATCCCCATCCTCACAGCTAGCATCATCTAGCTGACAATTCCTCCTCAAAGATGAAAACACAAATGCAGGGGCTGGAGAGATGGCTCAGCGGTTAACAACACTGGTTGTTCTTGCAGAAGACTCAGGTTCGAATGCCAGCACCCACATGGCAGCTATCAACTGTTCGTAACTCCAGTCCCAGGGGATCCGACAGCCTCTTCTGACCTCTGCGGGCATTGCACGACATGGGTGCACCTACCTACATGCAGGCAATACATGCATACACATAAAATTTAAAAAAAAAAACACACAAATGCATCCACCATGAGTATCAACATGCTTGCCCATGACAGCCAAGAAATCTGGGCACAGCCAGGGTCTGAGGCTGGGGTCCCCATTCCTTATGCTAGCACTCCTTCCCCCTTGTGATCAGGGATATCCATCAAGGTCAGTCGAGAGAAAGTTGTAGCCAAGCAAAAATAAGCTGAGACTAATGTTTCAGGGGAAGGCACCAACTGCCTCCAAATGTCTCACTTTTCTGAAGCATCCACTCTTTCTGGGAAAACCTTTGCTACATGAAAGAGCCTTCTGCCTCACCCTAAAAAAAGCAAAATACAGAATAGCAAGACCTCTGAGCTTTCTGCACCTTTTCCTCACAGCCTCCAGAGCTGGAATAACATGAGCCGGATGGTTTTCCATCAAGGGGGGAAATAAAAATCACAGAGCTGTTGGAAAGGCTGACTTTGAGAAAATCAATGGAAATATAACGCTCTGCAAATGTCATTTTACTGTTAAACTCCTGCATTATTCATCAGGTGCATTTTTAACCCAACTTAAGTAGATACCAAAACTTGTGTCATGTAAAAAATACCCTAAGCATTTCCCATCACTTTTTAGAGACTTTTTAGAACCATAAGAATAACGAAAATTTTCAGACTATTTTCCACCACATTGTAATGAACAAGGAGTCTGTGTCTGTTCAGTTTTAAAACAAAACACAAATTACATTAAACATGCAGTTGGAATAGTATTTGTAAACAGAAAAGCGAAAAAGGCATCCTGCCAGCCAGTCTCGACTAGCCACCCTGCACAGCTAGGGCTTACCACTCTAACTCTTCCAGGCCGAGAATCTTCCTGGGACCAACCCTGTGCTCACTTCTGCTAAGACATGCTCAATTAGGCAGGAAGGAGAAACATAAAATTTAGCTCAAAATCCGGGCCGAAAATCCGAGCTTTGGTTTGAAAAATGAAAAGCTACCAGTGTGATATACAAGGCGAATCTTCAAACAATCAGACATTGAACCCAATGACAGCTTTCCAGCAAGGGAAGGCTTGTTTAGACTGACCCCAGGATACCAGCTCCAGAAATGGCCTCAGTCAGGGCAGAGACAGACGTGAGACAGAGATGTGGCTCATGTCCAGGGGTCAAGGACAGTATCAGACCGCAGGCTGAGAGGCCCAGAAGAGGAAAAGGAGGCTGTGGGGGAGGGGATCTGACTTATCTCTGCCCTTCTAAAGCACACACGGCTTAGGGTTGAATCACCCAGACTTGATACTCAACTATCCACTTGCCGTGGTCAGCTGGCAGAGCACACCTAGAAGCGTGGTAGCCTACTAAACAAAGAACTTTATGGACATGATCTTTAACTCTGGACACTATTTTTTACCTCAAGGGCAGTAAGATTCCACTTTTGAAGTCTTTAAAATGTATCTGGGAAGGCCACTAATTCCACTGCTGATGAAGCCGTGTGCAGATACTGTTCCCAACCTTCCAACAGCTTAGGATGATCCTAGCAACACACGGTCCCCACTGCGGCACTGCGGGGAGCGCACCCGCAACCCCAGAGCCAACACGCGTTCTCAGAGACTCAGCTTGGCCTGCAAACATCTCCCCAGCTGCCCCTGACATTTGTCAAAACTCCCAGATCACTTTTTCACAACTGGACTTTTTTTTTTTTTTTTTAAACTTGTGATTAAAAAGTCACTCTAAGGAAAAGCCAGTCCTTGTACAAATGCCCAACACAGGGGCCACGACTGCCCCTGGCGTGCCCACTAAAGGGACAGCAGGCAGGACTCAGCACACTGAAGGGACTGCAGTGAAGAGTACTAGGCGCCCAGGGCGTGGCCAAGCGCAAGGAGGCCCAAACCACTCCCACGGCCAGGATCGCTGGAGCCCAGCACAGCTGCAGCTCTGCAAGGAAGGCAGGACCGCGAACCTTGCAGCACCAAGCACGCAGGCATCCAGGTCACCCACTATCCACGCCCAGATCGATCAGGGGCTGCCCCACGCATTGCACGCCCCCACCGCAACACTCTCCAACCCTAGATAGAACTCCCCGACCTGAGGGCCTAGAACACGAGCACTTGGGGTCCATGAACTCCCCCAAACCTCGGAAGCCCGTCTTCCAACCCCACCAGCCAGCGGTCTCCCCAGAATGCGCACGCCAGAGACATGATTTTAAGGAAACCTCATCCCGAGAGACCATTCGCGGAGTCGGGGCGGGGGGGGGGGGGCAGGAACCTCAGACGCAGAAAAGAGGCCAGTCACGGCGAGAGAAGGGATCAGCTCCTCGAGAGGGTCAGCGAGGTGGTAGCCGTGGCCTCGGACTTCGCAACCACCCAGACGCAGTGGCTGCACCGTTTGCGCCTTAGGTTTTTGCAGTGACCCCACCCAAGTCGTGACCCCCTTGAAGTCCTCAGAGCTGAGGTCCTCTGGCTCCACCTGCCCCTAAACATGCAACCTCGGACGTGGATCCCGCATGGCAGCGCCCCTGAGCCAGCCAAGCGGACCCGGCCCTGCTCCGTGAGCCGCGGGGACGCAGCCCGCAGTGCGACTAACGCAGCCGCTGAGACGCCCGGCGCGCCGCCCCGACCCGACCCCGCGGCGCTAGGAGGGGCACCGGCTGCCGAGCAGCACCTCTGGGCGCGGACGCTGCAGGCCCCGGGGAGCCGTATCCCGCGGCTGGGCGGAGACGGAATCTGAAAGGATGAGGGCAAGGATCCGACCAGAATAGGGTGCCAACTGGGCCGAGGGTGGAAGTGAGGACCTGACAGCGGTTGGAGGGTCCTCTTAGGACACGGGGGAAAAAGGGTCTGACTCCAGCCTAGGGATTGGGGAAGCGGGACGTGGGGAGAGGGTGAGTTCAGAAGTGCGAGGGAGGGTGGGAGGCCCAGATCCTAGGCCAGAATAACTGCGGGGCATCTGGGGTGCGGCAAGGAGGAACCAGGAGAAGTAGGGATTCTGCGTTAAGCACGCAGGCGGGGGCCTCGGGGTGTGAGCTGGGGCCGGTCGGGTACCGGACGAGAAGGGAGAGGGAACAAGATAGTACACCAGGCCAGAGAGAGAGAGAGCAAGCGAGTCCGTCTGGTACCCGGCTTAGGTAGGTGCAGTCCGCGCGGGCCAGACTATCCAAGTCGCGGAATGTAGGGAAAGGGTGTCAGGGGGCGAGAGAGGGGGACATCGCATAGGACCAGGACCTGGTTAGGTCTGCCTCGCCAAGGAGGGGGCTGACGGATGTCGGTCCTGCGGGGCACGGAGCGCGACACAGGGCACTGGCCTGCTGGGACGGCTCACCTTGGGTTTGTACAGCCACTTTCGGAACCTGTTCATCATCGCCGCGCCAGCCCCGGCCGCGCTCCCGGCTGTCCTCGCCCTCTGCAGCTCAGCGCCCAGGCCCGGCTGCAGCACACGGCGGACGCGCTGGCACTGTCGCCACCGTCCCTGGCAGGAGCAGCAGGAGCTCAGCTCACAGCGCTCGGGACGGGCGGCAGGTGCGCGGGGCAGGTGCGCCGCCGGAAGGATACTAGGCGAGCGGCGCGCGGACGCATGGGCAGGCGCGGGCACGGGGCACGCAGCACCGCGCCGCGCGCTGGCACCCTGGCCTCCGCGGGTCACCGCCGGCCCGCGCCGCACATGCGCCGAGGGTGCCGCGAGCCCCTGGCCTGCAGCGAGTGACGGGTGGGGCCGGGCGGGTGAGACCGCCAATCCGCGCAACGCTCCGCCGGGGATGCGCTCCTGCGGGGCAGGGACTGCGGACTACAAGCCCCGGTGCGCACCGCGGGGCACGGCCTGCGCGGCGTTGCTAGGCGACGGCGCCCAAACGACGCTGGCCGTGCCGCGGGCTTCGAGCTCCGGCGCGGTTGTGCGGACCGGAACCCGCCGACAGTTACGTTGTCCGCCCACCCAGCCCATTTTGGAGAGGGCGCGGCAGCAGGTGGAGGCAGGTAGGCGGGCAGGGCCTGGTGCGGGTGAGGGGCACCGGGCGCGACAGGTTCTCGGGTCTTCTGTTCTTAACATCTGTAATCGCCACAGTAAACGGTAGTTTTTTATTTATTTTTTAATATTTTATTATTGTTCGTGTATGAGTGCATTGCGTGCATGTAAGTGCACCTGTGTCATGCAAGAGGGCGTCAGAAGAGGGCGTTGGATCCCCTGGAACTGGAGTTACGGATGGTTGTTAGCAGTCATGTGGGTGCTGGGAACTGAACCTGGGTCCTCTGCAAGAGCAGCCGGTGCTCTTAACGCCTGAGTCATCTCTCCAGCCCTGTAAATGGTAGGTTTTTGTTTTGTTTTGTTTCGTTTTGCTTTTTGGCTTTTTGAGACAGGGTCTCCTTGTAGCCCGAGCTGTCCTGGAACTCACCATGTAGACCAGGCTGGGCTTGAACTCACAGAGTTCACAGGCTTAAATGGTAGCTTTTAAAAAGATGTTTTGGCCGGACGTGGTGGCGCACGCCTTTAATCCCAGGACTTGGGAGGCAGAGGCAGGTGGATCTCTGTGAGTTCAAGGCCAGCCTGGTCTACATAGTGAGTTCCAGGACAGCTCGAGCTACAGGGAGACCCTGTCCCAAAAAGACCGAAAAATAAAAGGTATTTTGAGGTAACAGGCTACCTTGCCATCAGTTTGGATCTGCAAACCCATACAAAATGTAGCCAAACTCTTGAGTACTTACTGCGTGCCAAGAACAATATGTGGTCCCATTTGAAGTTCCCAAGCACAGCTGAAGAGCCCTGGCCATGAGAGGTAGCTCCAGAGCACCCCCAGGTGTGCCTGCACCCAATGACTGCTTGCCTCCCACCCCCACCCAAAGCCACCTCTCCTGCTGGTCTGAAATGAACAGATCTCAGATACAGAAAAGTAGGGCCTCCTATGGTCCAGAACTCCTGCTGCTCTGGGTTATCCTAGGCTCAGAGTCAGCTGGGTTCCCTAGGTTCCCTGACCTCTTGATTTCATTAAACTGAGAGAGACTTCACTCCCCCCCACCCCCACCCTGTGTGGAGGCTCCCCTTGTGCGGTGGTCCCGTCCTTGTTTGTTTCTGATGGACTTTACTGCTCCTCTCTAACTGCAACCCAATCTCTGCTATTCTAAAAAGCAACCCCCTTGTCTCCGATTCTTTTCCCTGCTTTCTTGAACATAGCAGTTAGATTTCTGCCTAGCCCCTCCTCTGAAGCACTTATCAAAGTCATCCTTGATCTCAGAGCTGCTAAGTCCAGTGATCAGGGCTCAGCTCTCATTTCTCTCCCATCAGCGGCAGGTAACCTGGTTTGTGTCTGACAAACGAACCCTTCTTGCTTGCTGGACTTGGGTCTGGAGGAAGGAAGGAGGTACTTTGCTCCAGCGTTCCTTCCAGGTCATCTCAAGTACCAGACAGTTAAGCCCTGATTAGAGAAGTTAAAGGTCCATAGGAGAAGAAACCCAATCTGCTGAGGAATCAAATCCCAATTCCCATATCCATGATTTTTCACCTGTAAAATAAAAGTGGAGGCCCTCGGGATGTGGCTCAGTATTAGAGCACTTGCCTAGCATGTGAGAGGTGCTGGGTTCCATCCCTAGCATTTCAAAGTAAATAATAAAATTTTTAAAATAAAGCTGAATCTGGGTGTGGAGATGTAGGCCTATAATCCCAGCACAGAGGAAACTGAGACAGGAGGATGGAGAATTGGAAGCCAGCCTGGGCTATTTTTACAGACCCTGTCCCCAGAAATTCAAAAATAAACAAGTAAAAAATAAAACTGAGAATGGACAAATGAATAAGAATAAGCTGAGAGATGCGGAACACAGGAGTCAGAGTTGGGAGAGGGCTCTTCTTCCTGTCATAGACATGATGGTTTTGCTCAAGTTCTAGGCAAATTTCTGTGGGAACTCAGAATCCAAGGCTCCTTTCCCTCGTATCCTATCACAGTGCACAGCTCAGTGCTGCACATGGGGGTACAGAGCCCTGCCAGCGGCCCTCCTCATCCACAGTGAGCCAGAGGGGCCAGAGAGGATGATTTAGAGTCAGGCTAGGCTTTCAAGGGCTCCTCTCTCCCTTCCTTCCTCCATATGGAGGAGCCATATACAATGGCTCATCCATTCCTTCCTTCTAGTCCCTGCACTCTGGATTGGGTAGGGCTCAGATGGGCTCCTTTGTTCCTTCAAGAGGCATGGCCCATCCTTTCTACAGAGAAGTCCAGGCTTCACAATAGGGGGAGCAGGAGAAGTTTTTCTGCCCACAGCCCTCCAAGCAGCCCCCGTCCCCTGGCATGCATGCACACCACATCTCAGATGCCCATGTCAGGCTCCGGAGGGTCTTCTCCTGGGTGTGTAGCAGGCAGAACAGTGTCCAGAGAAGGTTTGAGAATGCCATGGTGGAGGACCCTGTCATTGGGGAGTCCTTCCATGTGACTGTAACCCAGATCCAGGCCCTCTAGGTTGGAGACGTACTGAAAAGGGAATGTCAGAGAGCCTAGATGGTTAGTGTTAACTGTCAACTTGATAGGATCTGGAGTCACCTGGGAGATGGGCCATTGGGCATGCCTCTGGAGGATTTCTTAATTACCTTAATTGATATGAAAGACAGATCTTAACTGTGGGCAGGACTGTTGTGGGTGGGACTGTTGTGGACAGGGATCCTGGGCTGTGTAAAATGGAGAAAACCAGAGGAATACTAGGATGCATGTGCCCCTCTCTGTAGATGCAAAGTGACCAGCTGCTTCCAGCCCCTGCTGCCTTGACTTCCCTGTCATGATGGACTGCACCTTGTACACATGAAGGATAGACAACCCACTCCTCAGCATTGTCTCTAGGCCATTTGATTTTTTTTGTTGTTTGTTTTTTGGGGGGTTTTTTTTGGTCTTTTTGAGACGGTCTCCCTGTAGCCCCAGCTGACCTGGAACTCACTATGTAGACCAGGCTGGCCTTGAACTCACAGAGATCTGCCTCCCTGTAGCCCCAGCTGACCTAACTCACTATGTACATCAGGCTGGCCTTGAACTCACAGAGATCCGCCTGCCCCTGCCTCCTGAGTGCTGGGATTAAAGGTGTGCGCCACCATGCCTGGCTGGCCATTTGTTTTGTTTGGTTTTCCTGGTGCTGGGGATGGTGCCTTAGGCCTGAAGTGTGCTAGTAAGCTCTGTCCCACTGAGCCCCACCCCTTACTTTAATACTGTGTCTACAGAGACTTTTGCCTGCCTGTATTCTCTGCTTTGTTATTCCCTTTATTTCAAATCTTCAGGGGATAACTGCCCAAGTTGGCCTTGGGGTTCACAGAAAGAAAACTTCTTGTGCCATGGGTTCTAGGCCTCCCCACCCCAAACTCCTCAGCATGGGCTTCATTCTCTTATTTTCTTAGGAGTACTATCTATAGCATCTATCACCCAGGTAAATGAGAAATTTAACTGTACTGTGTATAGGATCCGTGTAAGCAAAGGTTTGGAAAAGCAGCTATTTTACAAAATGTATAGGGACGGATGTGGTCAAGATACATTGTTTACATGTATGAAGTTGTCAGGGACTAAATAGAAGATATGATATTCTGTTAAAAGTCAGGTAGTCCCTGCGTAGCATGCCTGAGACCGTAGCTTCAACCTCCAGTACTGCAAAAAACTATCTATCAATTCAGTGTGATCTTTCTATAGGTTTTATCTCTGACTTTCTCACAGATTAGGCTAACAGCCTAGGTTAGGGGAACTTGCTCCTTTTTATGTTTTCGCATTGATCACAGATCACTCTGGACCAAGACCAGGATTCAGGTGAGATTGGGTCCTGCCCACCGTGCTCACAGAGGCTTACTGGGCACTTAAATGACATCAGAGTAGGTGTCCATAAGGAATCTCAGGCAAGGAAGGTAGGCCTCAGGTGCCTGGGATGTTGAGGGATTGGCTAAACTCATGGGGAGGAGAAAAAGGGGAAGGGCTTTGAGGTTCAGGAGCTATATGTAGAGAGGCTTCTAAACCAGTGAAATGCCTCAGTGACGGTCAGGAGAGGAGGGGCCCCACGCTGTGACCTCAGGCTGTGAAGGGGTTAGAGCATGCTGAGGAGATCCCACTGGGTCCCACAGCAACATGGAATCATTTAGTGATAGGCAGGGTGGACCCTGAAGCCTCACCTCCCCAGACCTAACCACCCCACCCATAGCAGCCAGGGCCAAAAGCCCACCTAGTCCAGACCCTCAGGAATATCAGCCGAGTGCTGGTATAGTGGGAGGAACCAGGCTGGGAGACCAGATGCGTGAATTTAAGTCTTCACCAAACACATCCTCAGCCGTGACAAATGTGAGGCCAGGAAAGAGGATTCCATAGACACAAGTATCTGACAGGGAGGGGTCCCCAGCTCTGCTTCCATGCGCAGTCAGCTTCATCAGTGTGAGGACAGGCTTTGCCCTGACCCTCCTCATTTCCTTTTGTTGGCTAGTTACACCTGGGTAAGAAAAGCACAGTTTTTCTGCGGCCCAGACTGCAAGCTGTAGACACAGGTACCTTGTCAGACCTGATGTTCTTACCTGGCAGTGTCACCATTTGCCCCCAAGACAGTAACTAGGTGCCGGAGAAGTGGGAAAATAGTGCTCAGGAGCCCAGACCCCTCACCAAGGAAAAAGGACCTCATCACACCCACAGAACTGCCTTTGGCCCACATTCCCGGAGTATCTATGACTATTTTCCACTTAGGAGAGAGCTAGACTGGAACAAAGGGCCCCTAGAGCTGTGCCAGTGCAGGAGGGCAAGGGTCCTACATGGCCAATGATGCCAGGGCTGGTGGGACCAACATGACAAGGAGTGGAATCAAGACAGGAGCCAAATCCAGGGGGCTTGCCTGGCAGCTGTAGTCTCAAGGAGGGGCCCTGGTTCTAGCCCCTGACACACCCCAGGTCCCCAGGCTTCCCCAGCCACAGGCCCCCACTCTATGAAGCAGTGCCCCAGAATAGTACTTCCTGACCTTTGTGTGACAGTTGCTTGGATCTACCCATGTCACCAGGCCTAGGCACCTGGCCTACTCAGCCCCTCCCAAGGAGAGGAAGCCACATTCAGAGGGAGGGTGAAATGGCCACTGGGCACGAAGCCCACCATTGCTCATTCAGAGCGCATTATGGAATGAGGAGCAGAGAGTGGCCATGATCCCCGAAAGGCACTGGCTCACCCTCTCACAGCATTAAAGTCCCCTACCTCAGGAGGCTCACTTGAGGGACCCTAGGAGCCCATGGGGGTGGACGTTCCCCACCATACAGCCTTCTAACCAGCAGATGCTCCCTGTAGGGTAGGGTGATGTCAATGGTTCCCGGGGAGTCATGCTGTAGGGGGCACAGAGAGGTAGTCACAGGTGCAGGTCAGGCTCAGACCTTGCATCATGCCCAAGGGTGTACGTGGCAATGGAGTCTGCATCTTGGCATGTGTGCATCTATGTGTGTTGGACTGAATCTGGCACCATCCAAGCCAGAAGGCTACTGTTTTCCCACTGCTCCTGATCACCAAGATCCCACTGATGAGGGATCTATTGTGAGGTAGCCCTGTGGGTCTGTACGCATGAGAAAAGGTGCCCTGGTGCCTGTCAGCACAGGCTGGGCAGAGACAGAGTCCTGCCTGTGCCTGCAACTTGCTTCCTCAGTGCCCATGGAATAAGCTTGCTTACTGGGTCTCCAGAGCCTGTTCGTGGCACCAGGGCTTCAGACCAGTTTCCAGACTCCAAGAGACCATTCTCAACAGAGACTAGTGCTGGCTTCTACATGTGAAGCCCTGAGGGATGGTCAGGTCAGGCCCCAGTTGTGGTGGTTCAGGCGCAGAATGTAGTCAGGGTGCATGGGGATGCTGCGCCCAATGATGCAGACATTCCAGCCTCTGGGAATGCTATCCCTCAATGATGGCACTATCCCCGACTTGTCCCCTAACCTCTCAGTGAAGCTTCCCAGGCAGCACCCCAGAGAAGTTCCTCCTGGAACCAGCAGGAGCCTCAATCTCCTCCTCTGGCTTCCTGGTCCTCCCACCACTAACTGTACCTTGTACCATCTGCATCTCCTCCACAACCATACCCCCTTGGGTTCACCCCCAACCTCCCAGACTTGTCTCTCTCCAGACTTGCTCAGGGGTCAAGCAGGGCCTTTGGGGCTGGAGGTGGGTTCCCCCCAGGGCTGACAGGTGACTCTGGATCCTTGAGTGCCAACGCATGAAGCTGCTTTGGCAAGCCTGATCTCCAAAGTACCTGGGGCATCCCCACCCAGATTTCATGGATCCTTGTGCAGAGCCTTCAGAAGCCCTGCCCTCCTGGAAAGCTGCCTCCTAAAATTCTGGGCATGTTCTTGTCTGCCTGGAACTCCTAGTCATTGGAATTTTGACCTCTTGGAATAGCTCCCTAATTTTCAAAAATCAATCACTGGGCCTGGCGGGACTGACACGACTGGCCATCTCTCTGGAGGCCTGTCCTACTTTCTTTTCCTGTTACTGTGATAAAAAGTCTGACAAAAGCAACTTAAGGAAGAGTTTATTGTGGCGCACAGTTCAAGGTGCAGTCCATGACAGGGAAATCAAGGCAGCAGGAGCTCAAAGCAGCTGATGACATGACATCCACACTCAGAACACAGAGAGATGAACGCATCCTGGTGCTCAGCTCACTCTCAGTTTTATTTCTGTGATTCTGTTATCCTCACCTGCTGTGGGCAGAGCCTACCAAGAAAAATAGCCACCCTTTCAGCTAGGCTGAGGGTGCTCAAAGGCCTGCTGTCTGATCTGAGCCCCTCCTAGGGGTTACCCCACCACAGCATGGCTTTGGGGCTCTGGGGGCAGCCTTGAAGCCTTGGGTGTAGAGCAAAGAGGGCTGTAGCTGTGGCTAAGTGGTGACCTGAAGGTGGTGACCTGGAGGTGGTGGCCTGGAGGTGGTGACCTGAAGGTGGTGGCCTGGAGGTGGTGACCTGAAGGTGGTGACCTGAAGGTGGTGACCTGGAGGTGGTGGCCTGAAGGTGGTGACCTGGAGGTGGTGGCCTGAAGGTGGTGGCCTGAAGGTGGTGGCCTGAATGCCCACCAGGCCACTTGGGCCTCAGAGACTTGAGGGTATAGGGGACTCTTTAAGAGGAGGGTTTTGTTTTAACTGAGCCTGGCCCTCACCTAACTCAAAAATTACTTGTAGTTCAAGGGCCCCAGCCTCCTCATGGACTCACTGTCAGTGTGGCTGAGGGTCTCATAGGCAATTCTGTCATAAGCCAAGCTGGCAACCGAGAAATTGTGGATAATGTGACTTGTGATGGTTTGTTTTAGGGCCCTGCCAGGAAGATGGCGTACTATGGAAAATGCATTGAGATTGTGATAGAGCAACTAGGTAAATTCAAGTCTGAGAAGAACAGTCCTGAGCAGTTTCTGGAGGCGGCGTCCACTTCCTTGAAGCAGGTAGGGTCAGGGTGACTACTCATGCTCCTGGGAGGTCACAGCAGTGGACACGCACCACCTGGTATTTCACTTTCCAGCAAACAGCATAAGATCTGTTCCTTCCTGTGGGTAGAAGTCTGAGGCAAGGCACTCCACCAGGAGGGCCCCAGCAGTCCCTCCACAGACACCGTCTACCATGAAGGAGCTTCCAGTATCCAGAATACACAGCAAAACCAGATCTAGGGAAGATGCACTGGCTACAACTCTGGGCTACACTGCTCCCTTGGGTTCTGTTCTCCATTCACACAGATGAGAAGAGGCAGCCCCAGGCCCCACTTGGGAAGAGCAGTGATTGTGTGTTCGGTAGCAGGGACGTGGCCATGGCCACAGCTCATGGTAGATTGTGTTTAGTTGGCATGGCCTCCAGCAGATAAGCAGGGCCAAGCCCAGGCACCAAAGCCCTGGGGAGCTGCTAGCATTGTTACACCTGCTCTACTTTCCCGCCCACACCTAGACATAACAGTCCTCCAGACAGCGGCCACCCAGCTCCTCAGCTCCAGCATGTCCCCTGGCCCTTCTTATGTTTCAAGCCCAGAGTCTGGTCCGTGGGAATGAAGTACTGATCCCTGTTTCCCCACAGCACTCTCTTACTCCACATTTACCATCCATTGAGGGAAGATGCCCAGGGACCAGGAGCCTGGATTGCTGTGATTTTTGCCTTTTGTTCTTTGAGCTTAGGCTGTTGGATAGGGGAAGGCAAGTCCACCTGGAGAAATGCTGGAGGACTGGCACATGGGCACCTCCCACCATCCACCCAGGAGCACACCCACACTCACTGTTGTCTCAAACTGTCAAGTGAATGTTTGTCTTTTATTGTGAACTATACCTGGATTACCTTGGCCTATATGGGTTTGTTTATTTCCATGGTCCCCAGGAAGATGACCGTGGCCAAACCTCAACCCCCTAGTTATCGCCTTTGATGCATTCCCAGGTGTGCTGGACAGCTTTAGTTGCCAACTTGACACACCTGGGTTGAGGGAGCCTCAGTTGAGGAATTGCCTTCATTGGACTGGCCTGTGGCCATGTCTGAGGGGCATCTTGATGAGTGATGTGGGAGGGCCCAGCCCACTGTGGGTGATGCCACCCCTGGGCAGGTGGGCCTGTGTTGCATAAGAAAGCAGGCTGAGCAGGGGCCAGAGGAGCAAGCCAGTAAGCAGCGTTCCTCCATGGCCTGTGCTCCAGCTCCTGCCTCCAGGTTCCTGCCCTGAGTTCCTACCTTGGGCTCCCTGATGAACTGCGACCTGGGAGATATAAGCTGAATAAACCCTTTCCTCCCCAAGTTGGTATTGGTCAGAATATTTTGTCACAGCAATAAAGAACAAACTTAGACACCAGGCCACAGATTAATCCTTCCCATGGGGAAGGACAGGACTTTCTCCCATCATTAGCTGCCTTGTGGGGTGGGAGCCAGAAAGCCCCGAGTAGGGATGGGGAGGCAAAGGCTGGTTCCAAGGGCAAGGCTTCTCCCACAAGAAAAAACTGAGGCCCCTGACCCATCCCTGCTTCCCAGCTCCGGAAGAGGTACCTACCTAGCAGAAGCCTGCAGTCAGTTGGAGCATATTGGAACTACAAGGCCTGTCTGAAGTCAAGGCCCTGCCGGGGTCCCCCCACCCCACTCACCAAAGAACTCCTTTGTCCTTCCACTTTTCCTTGTGAGGAAGTAAGGAAAATACCTGGGCCTGGTCTTGCAACAGAAGCCTCCTGTGCAGCCCATCCCACCTCCAGTTCCTGCCTCGTGGGTATACAGCCTCAGACACAGAGGGAGGTCACCTTCCTTGCCCAGTTCTGTTCTGGTAGCCTGCCCATGCTCAGCCCTCACCTGTTTGCCTGGATGACTTATTTAGACCTACCTGTTGCAGGGTTTTGGGGTAAGGGGTGGTCAGCAAGTTCATTCCATGGGACAAAGAATTGCCTGTTTGGGAAAGGCTAACCCAAGGAGGCTAGAGGCAAGCAGGAGGAGCAGGGCATGACCAGTTTGAGTGGGACGTTGCTACCAGGGCAGCTAGTCAGAGAAATGAGGTTGACAGGCAGGGGAGAGACAAGGATAGCTGAGAAGCCAGACAGAGGGCTTCAAAGAGTGCAGCAGGAGCAACATCCCCAGACTGGGACATACAGGACAGGTGGAGGAGACTGGAGGGCGGAGCAAAGAAGTTATGACACCTCTGTTGACTGTTGTTGTGGACAGACAGCACCCATTGGGATGGGAGGGCAGTAGCTCTGGGTCATACCTTTCATAGGATCCTGGGGCTCTCCCTTTCCCTGGCTTCCTCCCCTTCTCCCTCATCAGTGTTGCTTGGGATTCCTTCCTTTGGGCTTTTTAATTCTGAATACTGGTGATTTGCCATTTCTCTGGACCAGCCTCAGTTCCCCAATTCTCCCTCACACCTGCAGCCTAGTCCTGGCTTGCTCAAGGTCTCTGCTTTAGCAGTTCGCCCCCATGTCAACATTTCCCATCAGCCCACTTCAGGCCCTGGCCAAAGGTCCTGCCGAAGTTCCTCTGAAGCCGAGATGGGTTGGGGCCCTGGGTACTGACCCAGTTTGGGCGGTGCACTTTCATCTCCACCTGCCAGAAAGTTTCTCTAACATACCAACTGCCAGGTCAAGCTGGAGATGCCACCTGCCAGAAACTTACACGATCCATAGGGCTCCAGACAGAACCTGATAGGCTTCAGGGTAGGGCACATAGTAGGTAGATTGTGTGCCCCCAAATGCTGGCAGCCCAGACTCCTGCTTTCTGTGGACATGACCTTACTTATATGGATCGTCTGTGCAGGTGAAATTAGGTTGAACTGGCAGGATGGAGCCTAGACCTAGCTACAGCAACTTGGGTTCTCCTGGGCTAACTTGGCTGGGCTCAGGGAGGGACAGTAGTGAAGGGAACCCATCTACCCTGGCCTGGGTGCCATGCAGCTCTGGAGACCTAGCCCACAACTCCTGTCCCAACTTCTGGTCAGTTACCATCCCCTGGAGGAAGTAAATGTCACTAAGAAATTGTTCTGGGATGTGTTTTCTAGGTGGAAGTCCGGGGAACAGTCAGTCCCTGGGCACCACCTGGATCTCCCTAAAACACAGATCACCCCAGGCTGACCAGACAAGTGAACAGGCAAAGCCCAGGAGCCCCTAGAGGATTCACCTGGGCCTATAGACAGAGGAGAGGAAGAGTCTGGCTTTGAGGAGACTCCATGGGGGAAAGGTAGAGCTTCTTGGTAGAAGGACCTGCCTAAGATGACACTACAGGAGCCCAGGGTCCTGACCTGTGACTGAGAGTGAGCGGACAAGGTAGACCCACAGAGCCTGCGCACCTAATTTCCAGATACGGCTACTCAGCCTGCAGGGATGGCCCATAGACAGATTAACTGTGAGCAGGAAAAGATCAGGGAAGAGCCCAAACTTCAGGCAGGTGGGTTGTGAGCAGAAAAAGGTCCTCCAGGGCAGGGCTGACAGAAAAAGCACAGGCAGCAGGACAGTTCAGAGATAAGCAGTCAGGGGGAAAGATGGAGGTTAAAGGGGCTTGTGCAAGAGTTTCAGGTGGGAGCAGTTCCTGGTGCTGGAGGGCCAGCAGCAGGGACCTCTTCTGGTGCTCCTGCAGGCAGAGTAAAGGACAGGGCTAGACAAATCCTAAAATGCCTACTTTTTACACTTCCGTAAATTAAGAGAAAACCTAGGTGGACTTGAGAGGTAGCTTAGTTGGTAAACTGATGCCGCTCAAGCATAAGGCCCCTGAGTTCTAGTCCTAGAACCCAACCTTGAAGGAGAAAGAGGCCAGGCATGGTGGTACACTGCCTTTAATCCCAGCACTCAGGAGGCATGGTGACAAGCACCTGAAATCCAGTGCTAAGGAGGCGGAGACAGGTGGGTCCCTGGGGCCAACTAGCCCAGACTAGTAAGTTCCAGACCGGTAAGAGACTGTCTCGAAAACAAAGGTATATGGCACCTGACGAATGAAACCTAAAGTTGACTTCTGGTCTCTACATACATGTACACACACATGCACACACACCTGCATGCACATGTATACCCAAGGGAGCATACACATACATGCAGATGTGTACATACACTTATGCAAAGTTTTTAGAGAGCAAGAACACCCATACATAGGAGACGTGTTCTGCATTAATGTGCATTAAAGCGCTCGATGTGTGCAGCGTGGTGGCCTTTAGTCCCAGCACCCGGGAGGATCTCAGTGAGATGGACGTCAGCCTGCTCTGCAAAGCGAGTTCTGGGCCAGCTGGAGCTACGAGGAAACCCTGTCTCAAAAAGACCAAAAAATAAAAAAGCCTGATGTATTGACGTGGCTCAAGACGGTGTTCAGTAAGTGTCTCCCACACCAGCCCCGGGGTGAGGTAGTGAGTAATGTTTGGTTCTCTCTAGGAATTTCCCAGGCCTGGCTTGCATCTCATAAATCAGTAAATAAAAGTCATATGAATGCTACATATAAAAGAGAGTACATTGCTGTGATCTGAAGGTGGTTTGCCTATCAAATTCCTCAGTGTTTGTAGATAGGGCCTAAGGAGAGGTGTTTTGGCCCCTCATGGCAGAGCCCTCAAGAGTTCATATGTCCCCCAGAAGGAGTTCTTTCTCTGTCCTTAGTTATCAAAAGAGCAGACTGTTACAAATCGAGGCTAGCCCCTGTTCTTCATCTCTGCACACACCTGGTGCCCTTCATTTCTCTGCCATATTTGGGAGTCAAGCCCAAGAGGCCAGTGTCAGATACTTAGTGTGAGCAGTGCTGGACTCCAAATGGAAAGGCCTCACAGACAGCAAGGTGGAAAGTTCTGGAGTTTGCGGGGAGGTGCTGGCTGGTGGGTGTACATTTTGGAAGCAGCATATTCTCAGCCTGAAGCCGGGTCACCCAGGGACACGTGGAGACAATGGAGACACAAGCCCAAGATGCCTACATACAGAGAGATTGGGAAGCCATGAAGAATCATAGCAAAGCCAAGAAGAGGGTGGTTGTGAGA